AATTAAACAAATTTAATAATATTTACGCTTTTATCTGCATAACTTCCAAAATTAAATTATTTGCAAAAAAAATTTTTTTTTTTTTGTATAACAACTTAAAGAATAAAAATCTTTTTAAGTGTAGTATTTCAATTTTTTTACAGCTACATTACTACGCATGCGCTGCCACACTTTTTTTTTACCGTCAGACTTAATTTTTTTATTGGCAAACTCACTTTGCTGCAAAGAAAAACTTTAATCCGTCATAATTTTGAGCGAGACGCGAAAAATCAGCGAACAAAGCGCAAATGTGTTCCTACAAAAATTTAGTGGTAAAACAAAAACATAAAAAAATCAACAAAGTAAGCAGTAAAATTGCTGCAACTTTGTGTTGCTAGCATCAGCCTAGTAATATTACACTAACTCAACCGAAAGTAACTACTTGAACAACTAGTTCCATTTAAAAAAGTTTCTACATATTTAAATTGTTTTTGCGTCTAGTGAGAAATGTTAATTGCGTTTGCCTTGAAACGGTGCTGAAATGTTTTAATTGCATACAGACTAGTATGAGAAATGTTGTTTAATATGGGTATAATAATTAAAGTAAAGTAAATAATTCCTTTTAAATTTTTAATTAATTTTATATACATACATATACACATATATTGTTTGTTTTTGTTTTTCTTTTTTTTTAATGCAATTGACAGTTACAATAAATACGCTACGCTAATTGCTTACCTAAAACACAGTTAGAGCGCTGAAATGAGAAAAATATAATAATTAATTAATTAATAAAAATAATAGTTTAGATTTATATTAATTTTGTTAAATGTTAAATATGTTTTCCGCATTGCCTTATGCATTTTTTTATATTCACTATTAAAATTAGTTGCAGCATTATTTACAATATAAATAATTATATATTATACATACATACATAAATGCATATAACTGTCATATGAAAAGTAACTGTAAAATATGGTATACGCTGTAGCGAGTGGTGGCAATTAGACGTTAAAAAAGTAGCAGAAAGCAATTAGTTAAACCAAACAAGACACTTACACTTAGTAAATTTATTAATGAGCAGCAAACAATCAAACAAACAAACAAACAAAACAATCAACTTGCATGCCAACAAGCCAATAGTTTAATGTGAAAAATAAGGTTTTGTTTTTGTAAACCATAGCAGAAATATCGGGTGATTTTTTTGAGGTTAGGATTTTCATGCATTAGTATTTGACAGATCACGTGGGATATCAGACATGGTGTCAAAGAGAAAGATGCTCAGT